GAACGCAGCCCGGCTTCGGTGCTCAGGCAGCTCTTCGGCCCTCCAGGTCTTTCACTTAGGGGAAGGGATGGATTCGAAGAACTGGATGAGTCGCAACGGGGGCGATATGGGCAAGATGTACCTGAACCACATCCGGGAGGTGGTGCACTTCATTGCCAGCCAGCCGTGGGGGCTGCAGGTGCTGCTCTGGGACGACATGCTGCGAAAGGTGGGCGCCGCAGCCATCCAAGGTCAGTGCCGTCCCGTCCGCCAGGACCTTCCTGGGCTGTCTCTGGTATTCTCACCGCCTGGGGAAAGTTGGCCCGTATCTCTAGCCAAGGTCTTCCTTGGAGTGCGTCCCTTCACACCCTGACGTTTTTTCCTTACGGTGGTGAGGTCTGTGGCTGTGATTGCCGGAGCTGCAATGTCACAGAGGCTGTGCAAGCAAAACATGGGGGGAGGCTGGGCTGGGCTGGGCTGGGCTGGTCACAGAGAGGAGCAGGAGAGACAGACGAACATGTGCGAACAGCAGCTCAGTCATTTGAGGGCAGCAGGCCGAGGGGGGCTCAGCAGATGGAAGTAGCAGGTGGGATGGGCATAGAAGAGACCCCAGTGTTGAGCGAAGGTGCAAAAGAAGGCAAGCAGAAGCTGACCCTCGATCTGAAATCTCCAACCAGATCTGTGGCTGCAGGGCTTTGGTTCTTGCAGGGCTGTGGAGTTGCAGAAGCTGCCCGTCCCTCTCACCAAAGGATTGATGTCTTTCAGATTCCGGCATTGCCAAACACGCTTCTCCCGTGCTGTGGTTTTACGCTCCAGACTTTGATACGCAGCAAATAGGTTTGCTTTCCCACCTTTTCTTTTTCCAGGATTTATGTCTTTCAAGTGCATGTAGGGAAGTTAAGCAGTGAAACAGAACAAGTCATTACTTGTTTCTTGAAAGTGCCTGTGGTGGCACACATGGAGGCGTCCCCTAATTTTGATCCCTCACAATCACGCTCCTGTGAGGCAGGCATGTCTGAGAGAGAGACGGTCTGGCCACCACTTTGCCCAGGACACCAAGGCCACCCCGTGGCGAACTCCCTGGGCACCTCTTCAGTTCTGAGCAGCCTGCGGCACAGGGCTGGCATCGAGCGTGAATGATCCAGTGCCACCTCTCTCTCCTTATTCTAGGAAGGTACATCGAAAAATACGCTGAGTGCGGCTTCCCAACCATCTGGTTTGCAAGCGCCTTCAAAGGCACCACGGGCCCCGCCCAGGCCTGGACCCCCTTAAACACCCACCTGCAAAACCATCTGCGGTGGCTGAAAGTCATCCAATCCATGGAGAAGACACCATCCATCCATTTCCAGGGCATTGTGCTCACTGGGTGGCAAAGGCAAGTCGGGGGGGCACAGGAGGAAAGCTGATCTCTGGGCCTCCCAGGAATCGCAGCCCTCCATCAGCTTCCCCGTGGGGGAGAAGAAGGGCCCCAGGCCTGGCTTCAAGGCCCATCCGTAGGCAGCAATGCCCTCTGCTAAGGCTTGGAAGTAGTTGGGCTTCCCTTTCTCTTCCCCAGCGTAAGCCTGGCAGAGGCAGACCTGGGAGCTCCCCAGCTTGGCTCCCCAGGGAGGGCCGGTGAGGGAGGTGGGTCCGGATGCTGAGCTCAGGGGCCACCTTGTACAGCTGCCCTCCCAAGAGAGAGGCCCAGGCTTAGCTGATGTGGCGCAAGCTGAAGGCCCACTTTGGTCCTTGAAACTCCCCTCCCAAAAGAAAAAGGAAAAAGCTCAGAAGATGGTGGGGGTTGCATTTGGGGGGCCCTCTGCAGCCTGGGGTCCCCTCCCCTCTCGCATTGCCAGTGAGGAGAAGGAGAGCCGCTGCCCGGAGAGGCGAACGCTGGGGATCCAGTGGGTCCCAGGGGAGCAACTGCCTCCTGTTTCCTGTGCAGGTATGACCACTACTCCGCTTTGTGTGAGCTGCTGCCTGTCGGGATACCCTCGCTGGCCGTGTGCTTGCAGACCCTGGTGAATGGTGAGGGGGGTGCCTGGGCCTTTTTGAGGAGGGAGAAGGGGGGCAGGAGCCATGGAAGAGTTTGCTGAAGGGCGGGGGATTTTTGCATGGCAGGCAAAACCTCCAGCCTGCAGGATTTCTAGGTTGCAGAGATCCACCAAGCGGATGTGAGGATGTGACGTAAACCATCAGCTGCTTGGACTCAAGGGGGACTCCCCTCCGTCCACACGCCTCTCCCCTGGCAGCCACTCTGGCTGGTGGGACTTTGGGTCCCCCAAGTGGCACGTTGAAGAACGGCTGCCTTGCCCAGCAGATGCCAGAACCACCTCTCAGGTCTTCCTCTAAGGGCCTGGGCCCCCCAGCAGCTCTCCAAATCAGCTGCCAGAGTGGGGGCTGGAGCACCTCCCTCATGGGGAAAAGCTGCAGTGCTGGAGTCTCTGTTGCTTAGAAAAAGCTGTTCCTAAATTCTTTCTGACTGGGAAAATGTTCCTTCTTATCATACGTGGGGGTGGGGGGCTAGTTTAATTATTTCATTAGAAGCATATGAAGAGTTGGAAACTTTTTTTTAATGTGACAATTAACTTCCAGAATCTGCCACTGGAAGGAATAGGCAGGGCCACTTGATGGCTTTAAAGGGATTAAAATAGATTAAGTGACCAGCTTCCCTCACCCCAGGAGGCCAAAATACCTGGTTTGAGTCAGGTTTAGCCTGTTGAATAAATTCAGCTGCTGTGATTTGTGAACTCCAGTTTCTGCCAGGCGGGTAGCCAGGGGTTCCTGGGTGTGAGCAGGCCTGGGCTTTCTACACACTTCTTATGTCTGCGTGCTTAAGGGATGAAGGGGGTCCCTTAGCCAGATGTTCAGAAAAAGGGACAGGGTCCCCAGCTACACCCATCACAGCTCTCAGGCCAAAAGCGGTCGCCCAACCTGGTTTCTGCCTTCACTGTCGTGTTAGCTCAGTCAAGGTTAGTTCAGCTGTTAACTCTACTTAGGCAGGGCATGGCTTTGTGTGATGTCTGATCTAGGTCAGGGATTACAGAGCTTGCAGAGCCAGCTGTGGAGGAAGAGGGCCGCCTTTGTGGAACAGGGCAAGGATAGATACGGAGGGCAGGGATTTGCTGGGAGCAGGCCAGTCCCACGCTGACTTGGGAATGGCGCATCTGGAGGGCACCAGTTGCTGTTGTAGGTGCCTTTTCAGAACTCTACCAAGCCCTGTGGTGCTCAGGTGCCCTGTGTTCCCTCCCCCGCCTCTTTCTGCCCCCTCCAGAAGCAACCTTGGCAGTTGGCTGAACAAAAGTCTAGGGAAGAGGCAGCCCCTCCACCCGCCACCCCCCAACTCTCTTTTGAAGAGAGGGAGGACTCCATTTCCTGCCTGGCGGGAAGCTGCCACGGGATGGCTTTGGGCTGAAAGGGTTCTGGCCTCTCCCCTCTTGCTTGGGGGCATCACGAGGGCCTCTCCACCTCCCTCCAGATGCACCAGCGGGGCGCTCTTAAGCAGCCTCCTAAGTCGCAAACAGCAAAGGACCATGCAAAACAGGATCCGCCTGCAGCCGCTTCTTCCCTGGCAGGAGCTCTGCCCTCCTGCACGTAGCAAAGTGCTTTGGATTTTCTGCATAAGAGTCAAGTGTCAATTGCCACATTGGGTGCAGACCAGTGTGTGTGCAAGGAGAGCACAGACATCTTCTCTAGGCTATACCAGTGTGGCCGCACACATCTTTCAGTCACGTCTTCCCCAGGCCAGGCAGGCAGCTGGGCAGTCCTCCAGCCAGCGGGGCAGCCCCTCACGGGCCCCTGCCCTGCTTCTCTTCCTCAGGAGGCTTCACCGACGCTGCCAAAAAGAAAGTCCTCTCCATCCTTGGCTTCCAGAACCTGCACCTGGAAAAGAGCACGTGGTACGTGTATAAAGGGGGCTGGGGGGGCCTTTGCTCTTCCAGGGTTGAGGCTAGTTTTGGTGGTCTGCCTTTAAGTCAGCCATTCCTAGCCCAGGAATGAAGGTCTGGGGATGGCTGTGCTAAGTGGGCAGGTGGGGTGGGGTAGGTGTTTATTCAGTGCCTGCTGTAAAAGCGACACTTTCTGAAATGAAGAAAAATGGAAGGCAACCAGCTGTGCATCAAAGAGGAGCTGCTGCAAATCGCTTTGTGTCTTCTCAGCGAAGGAACCGGAGCATTTCCAGGCTCGGATATCTATCGCATGGTCGAGCAAGTTGATGGCCAGCTGAAGGACTCGATTGCCAAAGTCTTGGAGGAGGAGAGGTAGGTGCCATGACAGGGGGGCCCAGTGTTCCTCAGCACTGCCTTGGCGGGCAGGATGGGGCTGGGACCCGAGCTCCCCTCGCCTCCTTCCAGTTGTCCCCCTCCGAGGCCCAACCGCCACTGATGCGGGAGAGCAAGGAAGTGGGGCGCAGCTTCCATCACTGGGGCACCAGTTTGGGGCTTCTCAGCATCGGGGGAAGACAGTTGTTCTCCCCACCAAGCTGCCTGTTGAAAATCCCCCCCAGCCAGCAGAGATATCTTAAAGGGTGCTTCCATCGTTGTATCCAAAGTTCTTTAGATGAATCTTGCTCCTGTCTGGCTGTATCTTCTGCTCTTTTTATTCTCCCAAAACATGTGTACAGTCTCATGCGTCAGAAAAGAAAAAATACTTTTCCAGTTGGCATTTCTGTTGCTAAAGCCTGGCCCGGCTTTCCTCACCATGGGGTCATCCCAAATATGTGGACCAAACTCTTGGAATTTCCCAGCCCCCCCCCCCCCTAGGATTAGAAGAGACCCTGTTTGGGGAAGATGGCCAGAAGCCAGGTTGACACTTTCCTGAAGGGAACGATGCCTTCAAGCCAGTCTCTGGCTGGGGAATTCTGGGAGTTGAAGTCCACACATCTTCAAGTTGCCAAGGCTGAGAAACACCAGTCTAAGGCTAGGATTATTTTATGGTGCTGCCCAGTTCCAGGCCGTTGCCTCTTTCAGCTGACTCTCTCCTTGTTTGCAAGGATTTCATCCCAGCTTCACTGGAGTATTTTTGTCTCTCTAACATGGCAGCTCCATCAAGGGGTGGTTCAGCCCGTATCACCGCAAGCATCAGTTTGGCAACCCACGAAACATGGAGAGCTTCGGCAGCAAAGTCCTCAAGTGAGTGGAGCCTCAGCAGACAGCAAAGAGGGGCTGAATCCCGGGGCGTGGTGTCCGGAAACCCTTCTCCAGCCCTGTTCTCCTCCCCCCACCCCCCCGTCCACGTTGTATGAAAAGCACAAACTGCAGGCCTGGGCAGGTCCTGGGCATCTTCCTTCCCTTTGGCAGAACTTCCCTACCAAACTCTCCGTTTGCTTTCTGCAGAAATTTAGCTGGCCCTAAAATGGATGCGGAGAGAGCAGAAAGGCTAATATATTGGAAGATTTCTTAAAAAAGAGTACACCTATGTATGAGAATGTGCAGAACGCTCCTGCCCAGAGTGAGCTATGCCTGGGTCAGCCAGTAGTGGGTGGGTGGTGCCTGGAGGAAGGGCACGTGTCTCGCTTAGGCATGTACTGAGCACGTAGCAGGGGTCCGGAAATGGAGCATCCCAGCAGCAAACGGAAGGCAGAGGAAGGGGCTGGGAAGATTGGTGGGTGGGCTGGAGCACGGCCTATGCTGAGGGGGAATGTGCGGGCGCACCAGCTTTGCCCTTCTCAAAAATCTCAACTTCCAAAAGGCGTTTCAGGGCACCTGAACCGCAGTCCGCCTGCAATGATTGGCCAGACTCCCAAGCCAGGATGCGTTTGTTCCACGCGTGAAACAAAACACTTTTTCCATGGCGGGCACAGCTCTAGATGAGAGCACAGGAGACCGAGCTCCTGAGCTGGCCATGGAATCTGACCTCAGGGCGGGCTTCCTGATTAAAGCCTTTCAGACAAGGGGCTCCTCTCACCCCCAGCGAAGGAGAGCCCTCTGCCTCTCGGGGCCCTGCGCTCTGCCGTCCAGCCACCCTCCCGTTTGGAGGTTTTCCTGACGTGCAAGAGGAATATGCCCTCCTGCCCTCTGGCATGAGGCAGATCTGGCCCTGAAAGGATGGCACGGCCCCCCTCGCTCTTCTCTTTCAGGGCAGAACCCCCCAGTTCCCGAAGGATTTGGGCCAGAGCAGATGCCGCTGAGTAGCCTTCCTCGGCCCAGGCGGCCCTCGGCTCTAGGTTTTCTCAGCAGTGGCCATGCCTGCCGAGGAATTCTGGAGCTGGCGTTACATGGCCAAGCCTAAATGTGTACAGAAATACAATGAGCAGCATACCTGGAAGGCAGAGCACAAAACTAGCCTGTCGTTTCTGCCTCTGAGAGTGCAAGGGGCCTTAGGGGCGCAGGCGCTGGGCTCCTTCCTGTGGCTGGCGCAGCCCCCCTCCCGGCCTCAGGCAGGTGTCCACCTCTTCCACCCAGAGTCCACGAAGACTGGGAGAGCATCATCCAGACTCTGCGCTCGCAGATGGAGAGCATCTACTTCCCCGACACCGTGGAGGAATGGATGGAGGAAAACGTCAATCCCCACATGGACCGCCTGCGCGAATTTGTCCGGGACTTCAAGGAAGTCATCCGCCTCAATGCCCGGCCCAAGACCCTCTAGGGAGGGGCCCCCTCCCAGGCACAAAGGGGGGGCCCAGCCATGGTTCAGTCCAGGTTGGTTCTTTAAACTTGAGAGAACCTGAGGATGGGGGGTCTCCCTTCCGGGACAGGGGTTGAGGCCTCTTCTGGCGCTGCGGAACTGGGCAACTGAAATCTCTTTCCAGCTGATC